AATACAAATGATTCAACGAAAAACTATGAATCAATAATGTTAATTGGTTTACATACCTGTGGTATTTTACCACCAACAATGATTAAAAACTATTTACAATGTTCAAATATTGATTCAATTATTGATGTTGGTTGTTGTTATTATAAAATTGATACAGATTCAGATCACCAATTCTTATCGGATCATTGTATTGAAAAAAATTTAAAACTTGGTCCAGCACCATTAAAACTATCTTGTGAAGCTAGCGATTTAAGTCAAAAAGATTTAGAAAGTTTTAAATATAGTAATAGAATTCATTATTATAGAGTAATTTTAGAAGATTGGATTTTAAATGAAATGAACAAAGAAAATTCAAACTCAAAAGATGAAATAATTAGATCTTCACATGATTTTACAATTAGAAATATCTCAAAAAATCAATCAAAAGATTACAAAAGTTATTATAATGCCGCATTGGTTAGAATGAAAAGACAACAAAAAGATCAATCAATTCATAAAGATTTTAAATTACCAGAAACAATTGAACCAATTATCTCATATTTCGAAAAACAAAACCAATTGCAACAAGAGAAAAAGATTTCTGTATTTTTATTACTCCGAAGTTTATTGGCACCAGTATTAGAATCTATAATAGTTTTAGATCGTTTTCTTTATCTTGATCAATTTTCCTCAACAACTCAATCTTATATTATACCAATTTTTAATAAATTAATATCACCACGTAACTTAATAATATTAAGTTTTAAAAAAAAAAAAAAAAAATCAAATTAAAAAAAAATAATAAATTATTAATATTATTAAAAAACAAAACAAACAAAAAAAAAAAAAAAATCAAAAAAAAAATCAAAGATGAATAAATTCATCCGTTATAGTATATCTTTTATAATCTCCACAAAACCATTATTCGAAAAATTGCTATCAACCGAACCCTTCAAAATATTTTTTTTTTTTTTTTTTTTTTTTTTTTTTTTTTTTTTTTTTTTTTTTTTTTTAACTCGTTGTAAAAATTTAATTTTTTTAAAAATATTATTAAAAAAAAAAAAAACAAACCACATTTTTTTTTATGACTTGATTTGATTGTAAATCTTAGAAAAATCAATTTTTTTTTCTTTTTTTCTTTTTTTCTTTTTTTCTTTTTTTCTTTTTTTCTTTTTTTTTTGTTCCAACACCCTTTTTTCAACAAAACTATAGTTTTTATATATTTTTAATCGTCACATTAAACAGTGTGGGGTTTTTTTTTTTTCAAAAAAAAAAAAAAAATAAAAATATAAAAAAAAAAAAAAAAAAATGATATTATCAATTACATTTCAATTAGACCCAATTAGTAATAATGCTCCAACACTCACAAACTCTGTTGATAATAGAGCATCAATAAATGTTACAGCATTACAAATGCAACAAGGTTCAAAAACCTATAATTTAGATCAAAATTCATCATATAAAACTGTATTTCTAGCAATTTGTCAATTATTTGGTATTAAAGAATCTTCTGCTCAAGATTATTGTTTACAATTGGAATCATCTAAAAAATATTTAAATTGGCCCCCACAATTAGAAGAATCAAAAACTAAACACATTGTAAAACAACTTTATGAATCTGGTGAAACTGCATTAGTCCTTCAATTAAATCCAATTTATCGTTCTTCAAAATGGGTAAAAGCATTAAATGATTCCGAAACTAATGAAAAAGATATAATGTTTCATTTAAAATTTAAATTACAAGTAAGTTTTTTATTTTAAATTTATTTTTTATTTTTCCTCTCTTTTTTTTTCTCTTTTTTTCTCTAATTTCAAACCTTTTTTTTTTAATATATATTTATTTATAGGAAAATGAATTTGCGGAATCATTCATTGAACAAAATGGTATGGAAGGTATTTTAAGAATGGTTACAAATGGTAAAGGTAATGCACAAACCTATTCATTAGCATCATTAAGAGCATGTCTTGAATATGTTAGTGCAATGGAAGTTATTACCAAAACACCACATTTAGTTAAACAATTATTTAATTTAGTTGATAGTAATGTTGTAGGTGTTTGTAGAGGAGCATTGGAGTTATTGTTTGTATTATGTGATTTTAGAAAAGAAGAAGGTTTTAAATCTGTTCATTTAGCTGCTAAAGGTACTGCAGTTGCCCAAGGTAAAAAACCATATTTAAATGTTATAAAACTATTGGATTCAGGTGATTTAGAGACAAAAATCAATGCATTCACTTTGTTGAATGTATTATTAAGCAATTGCCCATCTGATGAAAAAGTTGGTAAACTTTGTAAGAAATGGGGTGAATTAGGTTTACATGATAAACTACGTTCTCTAACATCAATTCAACAACAAGAATTTCAAATACAATTGGAAATTTATGAAGAGACTTCAGGTGTTAATCTAAGAACCAAAGCTAGTAGATTAGAGGCAATTTGCAACAGATTAAAAGCAAAACTTATAGAATATGAAGCACAACAACCATTAATCTCAATTCTTAAAGAAGAATTAAAATTAGCACAACAATTAATTAAAGAGGCATCGACCGATCGTGTTTTCCTTAGTTCACATCCAATGCAAAGATACCTTGGTCCAACTATTCAATCCTATCCTTCTGATCTTTCTTTCTTAAAAACTACTGCAGCAGAACGTGAAAAAATCAATGAATTTGAAAAAAAAATCTTAGCAATCAATGAACAACTTCGTCAAGAAACAAAACTATCTGAAGAATTAAAAAATCAAGTGTTGGCAAATAAAAAACAGTTTGATGCAACAATGGCTGAATTAAATGAAGAGAATCAAAGATTAAATCAAATTGAGGTTAAGTTTAAATTACAACAATCAATGTCACCTAACCAAGACTCGCAAACGAATAACAAAATAGATTCTTCAAATTCTTCAACTCTAAATGATACGGAAATTCAATCGATTCAAACCTCATTAAAAGAAGCAACATTGGAAATTGAGAGATTAAAATTAGCAATCGAAGAAAAAATGCCACCAAACGAAGCACAACAAATCTTTTCACAATCATTAATAAATACAACAACCAGTACGAAACCAATTAGTCCAGATCTTAATAATGATGCACCAATGGCAGGTGCACCACCACCACCACCTCCACCTCCACCAATGTCAGGTGGTGCACCGCCACCTCCACCTCCACCTCCACCAATGTCAGGAGGAGGTCCACCACCACCTCCCCCACCACCTCCACCAGGTGGTAAAAAAGCAGGTGCACCAGGTGCACCAGCAGGACCTGCAGCAATTCAACCAAATAAACCTGTTATTAATCCATTAAGTAAAATGAAACCATTATATTGGAAAAGAATTATTTTACCACCATCAAATAGAAATGAATCAATTTGGGATCAAGTTTTAGAACCTACATTTGATTCAAAAGAATTTGAAAATTTATTTTGTGCAAAGAAAAAAGCAGTAGATCAATCTTTATCATCAACATCATCCTCAGCACCTGGTAAGGAAGGTGAAAAAGTTAAATTAGTCTCATTAGTTGATATTAAGAAATCAAACTCAATTGCATTTATGTTGGCAAAAATACCAACATCAGAGGGTTTAAAGAAAGCAATAGACTCTGTTGATAATTCAATCCTCGGTAAAGAAATCATTAAAACATTGATTGCCAATGTACCAACTGAACAAGAATATCAATTAATTAAAGGATCAGAAATCCATGAATCCAAATTGGATAAACCAGAAAGATGGATTCTTGAAATGTATGGTTTCCCAATGATGAAAGAAAGATTAGTGGCTTGGTTATTCCAATTGGAATATCAAGAAATGTATAGTAATATCATTCAAATTTTGGAAAAACTTCAAAATGCCATCAAAGATACAAAATCTTCAGATTCTCTTAAAAAAATATTAGGTATCGTATTGGTACTTGGTAATTATATGAATGGTGGTAGTGGTAGAGGTCAAGCTGATGGTTTCACCCTTGAGATTTTAGATTCTTTAGCAACCAATAAAGATGTTGAAAATAAAAGCTCTCTTTTAGATTATATCTCAAAGATTTCAATGGAAAAGTATCCAAAAACTATGAACGTTGCCGAAGAACTTGATTCTTTGAAATTGGTTCAACTTTCAATCTCTGATATGTCAACAGATATTAACGATCTAGAGAAACAATTTAATATATCTAAAAATAACTGTAAAAAAGTTTTAGAAGCAAATATACCATCAGCTTCAAAATTTCAATCTACAGTTGGCGCATTTTTAGATAAAGCAGAATCAGATATTAAATCCCTTAAAGATAGTCAAAAAAATATAGTAGAATCTTTCGTTCAATTGGTCGAATTTTTTGGTTATCCAAAAACTTATGCCACAACTGCATCCTGTCAACAATTCTTTAACTCAATCTATTCATTTTCTTTATTATTTTCAAAACAATGTCAAAAGATCGAAAAAGAAAGAGAAGCACTCAATAAAGCTTCTGGTGATAATGGTGGAGTTCAAAATAAAAAAATTGCTGGTGGTGCTGATCCATTAGCTGCTCTTGCAAACGCTATTAAATTAGGTCAAACTGGTTTAAGAAAAAGACCTGGTCCCACTGATGGTGGTTCTCAATTAAATTTAAATAAATAAAAAATAAATAAAAAAATAAATATTTAAATAGTTTTTTAAAAAAAAAAAAAAAAAAAAAAAAAAAAAAATTCTTTTTTAGCAATTAAAACTATTTCATTATTTATTTATTTTAATTTTATAATTTCGAAATTTGCTCGCATATGAAAAATTATGTAAATTCTATGTAACTCCAATGTAAAAAAAAAAAACGAATTTTTTTTTTTTCATTTTCTTTTTTTTTTTTCCTGAATTTTTTTTTTTCTGAATTTTTTTTTTTTTTTCAGTATAAAAGCTTATTGGCAATGCATTAATTTTTCAACAACAACAACTAAAAATTGTATGTATAAAAAAAAAACATAACAAAAAAAAAAAATATATATAATAAATGGGAATGTAAAGTGGTTTAAAGTTTACAATAGTATTTATTATTATTTAATCTTAATGATGAAATAATTTATCCCTGTCTTAGTATTTCTGTCTTGCTGAGAAAATTGTTGGCCTGTGGTAAGGTCTTTAACCTGACAGATTAAATAATATAAATACTATTAGTGACTTTACACCCATGTTTTTCAAACTCTAATATTGGATTATTATAACCATTAATTCAAATATTAACTTTAAATTTTTATTTTTAAAAAAATTAGGTTTTTGACTGTCTATTTGATTTTCCTATTGAGCTACTTAAAAAAAATTATTTTTTAAAAAAAACATAAATAAATAAAAAAAAAAAATGAAATTTAATAATTCTTTTCAAAAAAAAAAAAAAAAACCAAAATTTTCTATTTATTTTTCTTTTTAATTTTATTAGTCATTCATTAAAAAATAGTACTTGTTTTTTTGATTTTAGTATTATGCTGTATGATTTAATGAAGTCATAAATGGTCCATGAGATCCCATGTTCAAAAAAACAATGATGCTTTCTATACTGCTGTTTTATGTTCAAATTTTTTTATTTTTTTTTAAAAGATATTTTTAACTATTATGTGTGGTTTTTTTGGTGTATACATCCTATTTCAAAAGCGAAACAAGTTTTTTTTTATTCTATATTTAATTTAAATTTTCAAAAGTTTTTCATTTAGTTGTAAATTTTTTTTTTTTTTTTTTAAAAAGGTATCTAGAATTGATTTAGTAAATTTTCTAATAATGATGTTGATGATTGATTTGGAGTTTGAGAAGGGATTGGAGTTTGAGTTGGTGTTTGGGTTGGTGTTGGGGATGGTGTCGAATCTGAAGGAGAAGAACGACATTTTGAACCTGAACGGAAACCATCACAATATGACATAACAATAATGAAAATAAGAAGCTAAAATTGGTTATTGAGTGAGATTTGTATTTAATATATTATTATTATTATTATTATTATTATTATTATTATTATTATTAGTATTATTATTATTATTATTATTATTATTATTATTATTATTATTATTATTATTATTATTATTATTATTATTATTATTATTATTATTATTATTATTATTATTATTATTATTATTATTATTATTATTATTATTATTATTATTATTAATTATTAATTATTAGTTATTAATTTTAAAAATTATTAATATTATTATTTAATTAAATAACAATGATATAATTATTTTCAAATAAATGTATTAATTATTTTCAACTTACAAGTACAATAGCAGCTAAAACTAACATTAATTTAACATTTTTCCACCACATAGCGCATTTTAATTGTTTACTTTGTTTTTTAAATTTAAAAGATTGTTGATTAAGAGTATCAGTACGTTCGACTAACATTTCAATTTTTTCACCACGCTTCAAAAGTTGTGGAGCTATATCACTAACCAATATATTTTTAACTTCATCGATTTCAGCCATTGTACGACTCATTGTATCTACACGTGTTGTGTTTGAATAATGATCCATTAAATTTTCTAATGTTCTCGAGAAATCTGAATTCATACCATATGCAATGGCTGTTTTACCTTTATCGCCATACATTGATTTAAATCTATTCTTTACATCATCTAAAAATGCAAATGGTATTCTTCTACCAAATTCTTCATCTGCCATACAAAGATAAGTTAATGTATCACTAACTAAATAGTGGAAAATATATCTATAATTATATTATTGTTGTTATGGTTATTGTTTTTATTTATTAATTTATTTATTTATTTATTTATTTATTTATTAATTATAATTTTTAAAAAGTTATTGGGATTTTAGTATTATGTAGGAATTATTCTACTAATTTACATATGTATATATATACTTTTCGTAAACATAAGACATTTTTGTATCATTTGGTGGGATTATATCTAAAATTCTTCTGGTGATTGTAGTAAAATTACCAGTAGTATTAGTGAATTCTGCCAAGACAGATGATCCCCTTGCTATGAGCGAATAGATAATAGGCATATTTTGTATTTATATTATTATGTGTGGCTAAATGGATTAGTGTGAGAAAAAAAAATTAAAAAAATAGGACCTCAGGTAACCTCGAAAAATAGTATTTTTTTTTATAAAAAAAAAAATTTATTTTTTTTTTATTTTTTTTTATTTTTTTATTTTTTTTTTTTTGATTTTTCCAAATATTAATTTTATATATTTAATTTTTTTTTATTTATTTTTAAAATATTTGATTAGTTTGAGACTTAAACTGTTTTTGTATTACTTTTTTAATATAAAAATAATTAAAAAAAAAAAAAAAAAAAAAAAAAATAAAAAAATAAAAACCAAGTTATAAAAAAAAAAAAAAAAAAAAAAAAAAAAAAAAAAAAAGAAAGCTCGACATAAATTTCCAAATTACCACCACAACACCAATTTATTTATTTAAGTAAAATTTTTTCAAAGAAAAATGTTTCTCATTATTAAATATAGACTTTAATAAAAAAAAATTAATGAGCTTTATTTTTGAAAAAAAAAAACAACTCAAAAAAAAAAAAAGATATCTTTTGAATTTTTTTTTTTAATATTTTTTTTTTTTTTTTCTAAATTTATTATTAAATTATAATTATTATTGTATTATAAAAATAGAGATAGACATGCAAGAATTTGAAAATTTATTTTTTAAAGTTTGGAAAAATATTTTTATTAGGAATGAAATTACTAAACATTTAGAATTATATAGAGATTGTTATAAATTAAAAGTAAATAAATTAAGTGATTTACAAAATTATTCAAATAAAGAATATGTGTCGATATTAGAATATTATCCTTATTCATTATCTAGTGGTTGTTTTAATAAATTATCGTCATTGGTTGAATTAGAGATTATAAAATATAAAGGTCAAATAAATCTTAGTGATTTAGAATCAATAACTACTTTAAAGAAACTATCAATTTCAGAGGATTTAGATCAAGAACTTGAAGTTAATTCATTACCATCATCAATTAACGATTTAACTCTAATTAAATATAATAAAACCATTAAACCAAAAGTTTTACCTGAAAGTTTAACAAATTTATATTTACCATTATTCAATCAACCAATTGAAAAGGATTCATTTAAATTTAATAGTAATATAGAATTATTGATAATGGATCGATTTGATCAAGAAATTGATAAAGATGATTTACCATTGAATGTCATAGAGTTAGTTTTATCATTGTTTAATAAACCATTAAATTATGGTTCAATTCCAAATTTAGTTGAATCTTTAAGATTATTCAAATTTAATCACCCATTAAAACCAAATTTATTACCATCTTCACTGATTGATTTAAAACTAGATAATTTCGATCATTTATTAAATGTAGGTGATTTACCTTTGGGTATTATATATTTATATTTAGGGGAATATAATCATAAACTTGAACCAAATGTCTTACCATCGACAATTACTGATTTATCACTTTCAAGATTTAATCATCCTTTGAAAAAAGGTGATATTCCATCAAGTGTTACATTATTACAAATGTGTGAATTTAATTCAACCATTCAAGTTGGTGCAATTCCATCATCTGTTAAAAAGTTAAAATTAAGTTACTTTAATCAACCAATTGAACCTGGTGCTATATGCTTTGGTGTAGAAAAAATAAGATTGTTAAGGTCATTTAATAAACCATTGGTTAAAGGTTCATTCCCCAATTCAGTACGTACAATTCATTTTTCAGTTAATTTTAATCAATCAATAAAACCAAATGATATCCCAGAATCTTGTATCAAAATTAAAATGGGTTATTGTTTTAATCATCTTCCAAAATTAACATCAAATATTTTTTCAAAAAATTTAAAAAAAATAATTCTTAATCGTGGATATAATCACCCAATACCTGATGATTTAAAGGATATTGTGATAATAGAAAAATAAAATAAAAAGATAAATATTTATTTAAGTTATATTGTTTATCATATTTTAATATAATTTAATCAACTCTATAAATTTTAGTTAAAGCCATTAGGAACACTTTTTTTTTTTTTTTTTTTTTTAAAATTGGATAAAACAGTTATAGTTGTTTCCTCAGCGATAGAACCCTAATATATTAGTTTTATTTTTTTAGAGTAATTAAAATTTTGTTTGATGTTGTGAATTGTTAATATTATTTTATTTTTTTTTTATTTTTTTTTTCAATAATAAAAGTTGTTTAGTGATGTGTTGTATTAAATATTTATGAGTGCAATAGAGTTTAGGTTTGAGTTCCCAGTTTTTGCTGAACCTTCGGATTTTGAATTGTATTTGGGATTTGAGGCCTTTAAGAATCTCTAGATTTTTTATTTAAAATCTTATCGATTTTTTTTTTTTAAATTGTTTTAAAATTTTATCGAATTAAGGTATTAAAAATCCAAAATCATCAGCTTTTCCTTGTTGGTCTAGTGGTGAGGATTTTCGCCTGTCACGCGAAAGGCCCGGGTTCAATTCCCGGACAGGGAGCTTTTAAGAATCCCTTAAAACAGATCATGGGTTCGATTATTACCCACGTCAATTCTAATCCCAATAATATAAAAAATACAAAAACTCTTGGTTAATATACAACAACAAAAATAACATTTCCAATAAAAACTTCAACCCAATCTTTAACACCAAAAACCAACTTCTCTCATTAAAAGAAATATACAACAATCTATTATCACACAACCCCACCTCTCAACACACCATAAAACAAAAATTACAACTCACAGACTACCAAGACACCCTTCACAAAAAGGGTTATATCTACAACAAAATATACACCAACATCCTCAACCTAAAAAATACCAAATATAGAAACACATTCTTTAAATTTCACTCAAGATGCCTTCCAATAAAACCATCTCCACAAACAACCTTGCCCATTATGCACCATCAACATGGATACTGACCCTTATGGCCACCTCTTTTTAAAATGCAAGATAACACTAGAATATATCAACATTAAAAAACTCAAAGAAAACATATTCTTAAAAACCAACTCCGCCACCAAACCTTCCTTCTCCCTTCATAACAACAAACTCACACCAATCTTCAATCCACCCTCCATCCCAGACACAATTATACATGGATACTACCACACGATAGAAGACTTCAAATGGTCCTACCGCGACATTAACCTAGACCTCCATAGAACCGAAGCA